TTAAATGGGATACTCTCACAGCCTTACCTTTGCAGTCTCTAGAAGGGTTATTATACTGTAGTACTGGAATAACTTTGGGTCTGTTTTTTTCCACTACAGAAAAACATGTTCTGAAGTTTGTAATTCAGTGATAAATCATGAATCTCAAACATGACACACACAGTTTTTGCCTATATGCAGAGGTTTACTGTGGGGGGTGGAGGGGGAAAGTAAGTTAGTTAAGCTCTCTTTTACTCATGGAGTCATTAAAATGATGTGGCAACTGACAAATATCTTTGCAACCTGAAACTGGTACAATTAAAAGGAACTGAAAGCTTGGGCTTGATTCTTCAGCATGGTAGCTAAAGTGGTGCAACTTGATGTGTGGATGCTCATAATTAGATTTAAAACATTTTAAATGTTTATCTGTTTTTCTGTACTGGGCAAGCTAAATGGATAAACCAGTTTTAAACTTCTGTAAGTATATCCACACGAGGGGTTTCAGCAGTTTAATTAAACTAGTGCAGCTTCATGTGTAGACAAGCTTTAACAATGTGGAATTGTGTCCTAAATGTACTACCTCATTAGAAAGCTCATCAAGTAATTCAATTGCAGGAAATAATACTAGGTCAAAATATGTTATGCCAGTATGGGTTACATAGGTTTGTAGCGAGAAACAACTCTGTCTGCGTGAGAAACTACTAATGTTATGGTGGTTTTAGTGCTGTGAAAATGGAAGTGGGTACTGTATATAAGTGCTTAAGCATTTTAGTGCTTCTGTCCTAATCATTGCTTTCATTGTCTGTAATGTCCTGATCAGCACCTTTTAGTGATTCCCATGTTCTAGGAAAACTATAATTTATTTATGTAGTGAATTAATAATATATTTTTTCAAATACAATGAACTCTTTTAGCATCTATTATCAGGGATCAAGTCTAAGAGGGTACAGCCTGTATTTATCCAGACAAACCACTTAGTAGATATTTAGAGAGTATGGACAGGGAGAATTGCAACAGAACTCTAGCAAGGCTCCTCAACTTGTGAATTTAGCTTCCACTCCTGCAAACATGCACTGTTATAGTTGTGAGTTTTTCTTTACAGTTCCTTCTATGTTGTTGTTGTTGATCCTTCATGCTAAATCAGAGTTCTTTAAATTGTTTGTTCTTAATTATCACTGAGGTGTCTTCTCTTACTCATTCTTTTCTCTTTTTAGGTAGCTACCAGCTTTATGGCTTGTGACTTCTGAACCTTATTCAAAATCTCCAAAGAGTAAGGGGGCACCTGAAATCTGTTGTCTTCCAGGAAATGCAAGGGCATGCAGGTTGTTTATTGTTACTGTAGGACTTAAATAGGCTTCTGGCATTCAGGTGAAGATCACACTGAACTTCATGCAAGAAATAAAATTGTGATTATTAATAGGATTTCTGCACTTCTCTCCCATAGAATTCTTTTGTGTTTTCATGGCTGTTCACTTTTGAAAGCAGCAATCTGTCAAAATAAACACTATGGTCTGAAAGATCTTTGGGGATATAACTTTAATCCTAAAAAGTCAAAAGCAATTGATAAAATAAGGACCGACATTGGGGAAGTCAGTTTTGTGTGCATAAAGTGAACATATCTGACACCCTGAGAGTCACCCAGGTTCTGAATTCTTCAACAGCATCTCTGGTAGTGCTGTAGTATAAAAGGCTGAGAGCTAAACTGTACTGAAACTCTTTCAAGGTTTGCCCTCTTTTTGAAAAGATACTGTCAAGTCTCTAGCTCCAATGAATTGTCCTTGTAGCAGGATTCTGAGGCATGTCTTCAGCAGGAAATACCGTAGGAAAACTAAGGCTATGTCTGCACTACAGCTTATGTGAATAAATCACTCCCCTGAGCGACATAAGTTATACAAACATAACCGCGGCGCTCACAGGGGCTGAAGTAGTTAAGCCGATGGGAGAGCTCTCTTCCGCTGGCTTAGAGCGGCTGCATTAGAGAGCTTACAGCAACCGCTGTAAACTCTGTAGTATAGCCATGCCCTAAATCTCAATCAGATAAGGGAAAGAGACTCCTCCCTTTGGAAAGAACTAAGGCCTTATCCACATGGGAAGGTTTTTCAGTATAGATTTTTCTACTATAACTATGCTGGCAGGGGCGTGCACAGGAATTTAAATATCACTCTTTTTGGAGGGATATGTTCTGTGCCCCCACCATGGCCCCAGAGCTAGAGGAGCTGTCAGCTCCTGCCATGGCCCAGGGGCTGGAGGTGCTCTCTCTCCTTGCTGGGGCCCTAGGGCCACATGAGCTCACTCTCACTGCCCTGAGGATGGAGGAGCTTGCTTTCCATGCCATGTCACTGGGGCCAGAAGAGTTCTCTGCCCCGCCAATTATTGGGGGGGCCCAGGCCCCTGCTTGCCTCCCCTTGTGCACGCCCCTGTATATGGGTATAGTGAAAGAATGTGTCCAACACTTCTTTGTTTATGCCAGCTTAAGCTACTTCCCTTGTGAATCAAAGTGTTTGTAGAAAATAAAACTTTATTAAAATGGTCCCATTTGTAAGGAATCCAGAATGTAATGGAAAATATGTTAATCTTTGAATTTAGCCACAAAATTACCAGAGGATGTTAAAAGGATGGTCCCAAGTTGCAAAACTTGGATCTTGACTAAATCTGATTTTTTTTAAAAGCCCAAATATATACAATGGCTCAAACCTCATGTGGGGGTGCAGTGCAGCCTCCACAGTTACTCCAGCCTTTAGGGTGGAACAGCAGCTGTAAATAGTACTACACTGAAGCACCATGGCCTGCCTGCAAGTTAGGGGAGTGAATTCTATCCCTTTTCAGTACTCCTCAGATCCCCACAACTGTGGTGGAACACTGCTTGGGTGGTGGTGTGAACAGGACCAAAATGTATTCAACACTTGGTACAGAGAGCCTGATTAACCTAGTTCTAATATGAGTTAATCATGCTGTCTGAATCCAGTGTTAAAACTGTTGGTCCTGTCCACACCAGTCCTAACCATGGTTCAGGGAGGAGAGGCCTCAGGAAGAGCCGTGTTTAACTCTGGATATCAGAAACAGCTCAGTTACTTGAGTAGACAGGACATCCTCATAATGCTGTTTGATCAAAGAGCTCACCGGCTGTGAGTACTTCCAGGGCTGGGCCCTAGCCTCTCTCTTTCTCTCTCTCTCTCTCCCCATTTCAAGTCCCAATTCCATTTGTTTTCTTTCTCCCTAGCTGCTTTTCTAGCTTTTCCTTTATGGGTGCAATCAGTGCAGATCTTGGCCAGGTTTGATCAACACACACATTTCCTTCCCACCTGTTGGAGTGCTAGTGCCACAAAAAGAAATGCTTTTTCTTTAACTTATGGAATTCAAGTGGGGCTTCCTAATAGAAATTCTAGTAGTTAGAATCCTTTACATGGTCTCAATTGGTTTTGTAGTGACTTCTGCAGATTTCTGCTGAGAGATCGGCAGGCAGGAACTACTAGACCAAATTCTGTGTGACAGATGCAATACACTGGAAACACCGAATATTCAAAGATTATTATATTGAGATGTGACAGGTGCTATTGACACATGGAATATTCAAAGACTATTGCATCACCTTTATATGTTATATGTATCTTTATGTGATTGTATTCGTAGGTCAATGGGTGAGCGAAATGGTTCTAAACTAAATTCACCAACTCAAATCACTGGGGAGTAATGAATGCAAATTTTTAGTGCAGGTAACAAGTCTGTGGAAGTTTCATACCCAGGGAAGATAGCGCATATACTGTACCAATTTGTCCTGGTTCAAAAGGCATGGCAAACAAAGAACTGTAAACTATATAAGGAGACTGTCCTGATCTGGGAACTGACATGAAACTGTGATCAACAGTGGCAGGCCATGTGAGAAGTGCCTGAAGTACTTAATTTTATCAGCGTCCCTATGTGGAAGATGGCTGACTGCCTGGTAAATTAGATCTGCAAATAAACTATTTATTGTTTTTATTATATGTTTTCTCTGTAATGCTTTTGTTCTGAATAAATAGTACCTTGATTTATGAAAGCTGGCTGGTCACTGGTTAACTCTGTTATTGCTACTGAGAGAACAGGACTGCAGGTGCTTAACTATAGTGAGACAGGCTAAGAGAAACACAATGAATTGCAGGAATCTGCAGCCCAAGTCCCCAGTCTGGAGAGAGTGCATTGTGGGATCCTGTCCCTGAAAGGTGATGGCTAGAGGCTGAGACCTAAACAGGGTGCCCTCCAAGAGGTCATGCATGGGTCAGAGGTGCAGTTACTTTGGGAATTGTGACATGTTGTTCTAAAACCTAGCTGGCATCTGGGGAACCAACTGGAAATTTTCAAGTGGAATTTCTACTAAGATTTACTTTATAAAAATACTGAAAAAAATCTCCTCGCTGCTATTATGTAGGTCCAGGCTTCCACCCTCCAAGAAATAAAAAAGCTGTTGGAATACAAATCCTGAATTTATCCTGAATTTAAGAGTTTTTCCAAAGTGAGAGTTTCGCAGACTGTGTAAGCTTCACATTTCACACTGATCCTGCTACAAAAAATAAGCTTATCAAAGCTTGCTTTAGAAAGGGGAAATATACTTGTGTTGCCAATGCAACACTACAGTTGCCTGAAAGTTTGGGATATCAACAAACTGCTACTTTATTTTTATTTTTATTTTTATTTTTTTTACTAGGAGTGGCAAATGTACACTTGACCTCTGACAGCTGACATGTCTGCAGGTAATGTATGTTTAGGGGAAAGCCTGTGGGCAGGCAGGATTGTGTCACATACTTCTGGACCCTTATTTCTAATAGCTGAAATAACATTTTTATTATGGGGCTTTCTGGGAACCCAATCCCACTGTCTTTGCTCAGGCAAAACTTCTCTTGAAGTCAGTGGTGATTTTTGTCTGAGGAAGAACCACGTAATTAGACTCTAGGCTTTTATTGTAGATGTCTCACTTAAATCAGTCAGGAAGTTGTGACGCAGGTTATGGGTTGGGTTTGAGGTTTTGGAATCCTTTTCTAAGAGTCGATCTCATTGCCTCGTTTTATTTCCTACGTGTGAAGCCGTGGTGAAGAGTGGTGGAGTGTGGAGGAATGCAAGCCAAAATGCAGACTCGTGTCAGATGTAATGGGAGGATTTTCCTGGCTGTTTGTATAATCCTCTTTATGGGATACACAGCACAAGGTAAAACTGTGAATGGTTGTTATTTCTATAATCCTCTTTCTAAACTGTGTAACATAGACCAAGGAAGTATACTATTGATTTTAACGAATACTTGTAATTGGCCTTGAAGTAGGAATAATAAAACCTACTTTTTCTAAAATTAAATCTTTTTTTTGTTAAACTTTCCATCAAGATAAGTTTTTGTATAATGCCAATGATAAAATTGTTTTTGGCAAGTGGATCTTTTCTGTCCTCCTTATATAGATGATATATGTAGTTAGTATTAGTATTTATTTTATAAAAAACATTATTTAAATGACGGACATGGCAAGTTACAGAAGTTCTATATAAATGTCTTAGCCAACTGTTTTTGTAGTGGCTGGAATATATCAGCATCACGCTATGATCTACAGATTTTTCAATCAACTGAGTCTGAAATACAACAATCTAAAATGGATCTAAATTTCAGGAAGTAAGGACTTCATTGGAGTTGTTTCAATCAACAGTGAGGCTAAAAATCACCTGCAGATAATATGTAAAATTACAAAATGTTACTTTGTAAAAGCAACTGTGGTGCCCAATTTTGCACCCTGGAAATGCATTGACTTTAGTGGGTTTGTTTGGACGTCTATCTGATTGTTGAATGCAAGGTCTTAACAGTTAAGCAAATATTTGAAAAGATGCATATTTCCTATATTATAGCTTCACTTGTTTCATGGGGAAATAGGAAATTTGTGTAAGTATGGGGAAGTTAAGGGTTTGATTCAATACAGCAAAAATTACAACACTGTGGACTAGAACAGTTAAAAGGAAATGTTGATTCACAATGACACAGACATTCTGTATTTATTTCTTACAAGAGGCATCTAGTTTTCAAGCCACATATGTATACTTTCCTGTAGAGATATTATCACAGCGATATGCATTAATTAGATACCTATTGGTGTTTTCATCCTAAATATTGTTTTCTTTGGATGACTATTACCTGAACTTTTTGCACACAAATTACTCGGGGTATGGTACATGTTACTTTTTACATTTATTAAAAACAGACTTTACTTTTAATAATATACAAACAGAAGAAATAACAACGAAAAGGAAAAGGTACTATGAGAGAGACGTGGAATAATGGCCATATGTATCTCTCCAAACACATTCTTTCTCCTGTAGACGAAATGTGTGCATGAGAAGATTGGAAGAGTGATTCAGTACAGTGTGGTAACAGACCATGTTAAAAGGAACTGTAATTAAAGAGAAGAGACATTCCCAAAGAACAAAATGAAATTAGACTAAAATACCAAATGAAGGAGAATGTAACATGAGGCTTCAGATGCAATTAGTTAATGATACCAAAAGAAGGATGAAAAATTTAATCCTAAATGTGTTTTTGATGGTTTCAAGTGTTTTGTTTGTTGGTTTATTTTTTGTTTTGCTCCTCTGAAATTTTTTTAAGAAAGCTTTTGCAGCCGAACCTTAGATGTGAATGTAGGTTAGACATTGTGGGAGGAGAGGAAGTGAAAGAGCATCTGAAGAGTGTTTAGTGAACATCTGCAGCAGCTACTTTCCAAGAAGTCAGTAAATACGCACTGCAGTCTACTCTATAGGGCCTTATTATTAATGGGCAGATCCCACAGGGAGGGTTGGGGAGGAAATCTCTGTGAGGATTCTTTAATGGAGATTACCTCAGTATTGTTCTGTTGAGGAGGTAGGTACCTTTGGAAGATTCTGGGGGATCTGCTGGAGGCTAGGACAATCCACAGGAAGGCTCCGTGCCTCCACACCAACTCTGGCACCTGGCAGCCAGAGTGTGGTCGGCATCTCACAAGACAGGACCCATGCTTTCCACATTGTTATGTGCCTTTCCATGCTGTATGTGTTCTTTTCATACATGTCCATTTAATTCTGAAATCTACTCCTTTGTGTTGTCATAAGAGACATGGAAGTTCATCTAGCTGTTTCATATGGAATTTCTTCAGTGTTTGGAAGATGTGCTCATATGGATATAATATGAGATACAGGAATATTACTTAGTGATAGTACTGGTTAATCTAAAAATGTCTTGTCAGAATTGTTTATGGTTGGGTAATCACTAAATATATACATATCATTATAACTACCAGCTTCCTGATCAGGAGTTCATAAAGTAAAATAATCCCTAATATTGACTACAGTAATTCATACTAATAATGTACGAATAATTTGATCAGGTGTTCCAGTGCAGAAAGCAAGATTCCAGAGGGTAAAATGCAGACCTGACATCTTGTCTGCTAACTGCATTGAAGAAAAAGGACCGTTGTTTGAAATTTCTGAAGGTGGAGCTAACAGAATCCTCCCTCCAAAGGCTGATCCATTTCTGTAAGTAAATGAATTGTCCCTTCAGTATTTATGGTTGGCATCAATAAGCTTTCAGTATTCTTAGCTAAGGTACTTAAATCTTTGACTTTTAATGTACATAAGAACCACCACACTGGTCAGACCAATGGTCCATGTAGCCCAGTGTCTGTCTTCCAACAGTGGCCAATGCCAGGTGCTTCAGAGGGAATGAGCAGAACAGGGAACCATTGAGTGATCCATCCCCTGCCACATCCACTTCCAGCTTCTGGCAAACAGAGGCTAGGGATACTCAGAACATGGGGTTTCATCTCTTACCATCCTGGCTAATAGCCATTGATGGACCTATCCTCCATGAATTTATCTAGTTCTTTTTTGAACCCTGTTATAATTTTGTCTATCTATCTAATCTATCTACTGTTATGCATTTGATTTTCATTTGCATGTTGAAAGAGCATTAATTTTTAAAAGTGATAGTACAAACATGACTAAGATTTTGACATATACAATAGACTGGTGTGGATGATGATCATATTTCATTAAAGTCTAAGGAGACAAACTGGTATATTGTGTAGGATTTGTCATAGCCAAACAGATCAATGCCCATTAAATTTGGTATCCCATCTCATGCAGTGACAAATCCTCAGTATTTCTAATGAGGGCACAATCCAGCCCCCGTTTTCAGCAATACACCTAGCCACTTGTGCAATATTATATATGGTGATCTGGAACGGAAATACTGTTTCCTGATATCTTTGATGATCAGCATATGTTCTTAAACCTGAGGCTTGAATGCCATTATTTTAGCTTGTATGATCATAAAAGTTGTTGGTCATAAAATTTCCCTTTAAATAAATCTATTGATGGTATTTGACCTCCTTAGCAGTCAATTCTCAATTTGACTGCATGCTGTGTAAAGCATTTCCTTCTATTGATCTAAATTCACCTGCCATTAAGGGGTAGGACTCTTGCTAATCCTGAGGAATGTAAACTCCTTAAGCTATGGATATAAGGATTTTTGGCCCAAAAGGGCACTTTACCAGGAAAGAAAGATCTGTGATCCCAGGGAGGAGTGGCTGTGCTGGCCTTCCGAGACATAGGCCTTGTCTACACTACCGGGTAAGTCGACCTAAGTTACGCTACTCCAGCTACGTGAATAATGTAGCTGGAGTCGACGTAGCTTTGGTCGACTTACTGTGGTGTTTACACCATGCTGGGTTGACAGGAGATGCTCTCCCTTTGACTTACTTTAATCCTCTCGTTCTGATGGAGTACCAGAATTGACCAGAGATTGCACTGCGGTCGATTTTGCAGGTTTTCACTAGACCTGCCAAATCGACCCCCTCTGCATCGATCCCCGGTAAGTGTAGACGTGGTCAAAGTCTCTCCTACCTATTCTCTGCTGAGAGCCACTCCTTTTTTCTCCTGGGCTGCTTTTAAGCCTCGCTACCTCTCTTGGGTGCTGCTGATCCTACCACTGCCTCATATTGAGAAAACTTGCATAGTACTTTCAAAAGACAAGCTTTGGAGCTTAAAATCATAACTTTGCTAGACACTAAAAATCATGATCTTAATAAAGACACTGGATTCATGGCTTATTACAACAATCTGTTACCCATTAACCCCTCTTTTTATCCTATGACTAGGGGTGTTAATGGGCTACTTCACCTTGAATGGTCTCTTAGTTTAGCATACATAGTTCACACATATTCTATCTGTTTGACCATGTATTTAGCTGTGACACTCTGAGTACATTTCCCAGACCTGAAGAAAACTTCTGTGTAGCTCAAAAGCTTGTCTCTCTCACCAGGGCCAGCTCCAGGAACCAGCTTAACAAACAGGTGCTTGGGGCGGCCAACGGAGAGGGGCGGCACGTGCGGCAATTTGGGGGCGGCAGGTCTCTCACTCCCTCTAGGAGAGAAGGACCTGCTGCCGAACTGCCGCCACCGATCGCGGCTTTTTTCCCCCCCCCCAATTGCCGCCGCCGGTCGCGATTGCGATCGCAGCTTTTTTTTTTTTTTGCTTGGGGCAGCAGAAATGCTGGAGCCAGCCCTGTCTCTCACCAACAGAAGTTGGTCCAATAGAAGATATTACTTCACACACCTGGTCTCTCATTGAGAAAAGGCACAGTTCAGTATCAGCTGATGGGTGTTAAGCAGAATGAGACAATCACATTTGTCCTTATGAGTAAATTGTATTGTGATTTTTCTCGTATATTTCAGGATGAAGCGCTTTCAGGAGCAACCTGATATTTTCTCACTTTCTGGTGAGGAATCTGGATCTGGGGCTGACGACATACCTGAAACAGAATCAGAATCTGGGTCAGGAATTAATTACAATGTTGAGTATCCTAACTTGTCATCTTCTGGCTTGGTGCAAAAAGAGGAGTTGAAGCAGGAACTAACAAATGAAGATTTAATGCTGTAAGAAAGAAGACTTTATCTCTATCATGATGATTATTTACAGCACTTCTTCTATGTTGTATAACTAAGTGATTAGTCTTAGGACAAACAGTTTTATAAAAATTATAATCCAACAAAAGTGCCTTATAATCTTTATTGCTTTTCTTTGCTAAAAAAATCTTTGTTAAATGTGACCTTACCTACATTTATATGTGCATTTTATATCTAAGCTTGGGATATTTCTGAAATCATGGGAAGATGGAATCTAAAAGATCCATGATAGTCTTGCTTGAGACAAATACTAGTATAGAAAAGAAAATGACTGGAAAATATTAGGTATGTGTATTCAAGCAGCAATCCAGGAGTCACAGACATACAAAGTAATGTAACTAAAAGTAAACTTCCCCAAACTTTTTCTTGGCCCCCCCGATAATTTTCTGTATAAAGTACCAGTAAGCTTATTTGTGAAATTAATTGTTTGCTATTATAAAATGTATTCCATATTACACAATAACTAATACAATGTTACTTTAATTATTGGACTTTTTATAACCCCCAGTGGGCCTCAATACAATATATAATATAATTTTGACTGTTCCTGTTAGTATAAATGACATGATCATGTAGGTCCAAGAATCATGACCCCTTCTACATTCTTTCTGTGTGACTATTATTAAAAGTGGTTAAAGAACAACTGCACTTGTTATATTTTAAATTTCTGGCTGAATATTTTTCCTTATATTTGCATCTACTCAGTTGTAATACTATTAAAATTTTAACGTAACCAAATACTGATTTTTTTTCTTAAATGCTGGAGTGAGCGCTCAAAAATATGGGTGGAAATGAACAATAAACAATTTTGTTTTCTAGTAGCCTTCATGAAAAAAGTATCTAAAATACACTAGCTGTGAAAAGGTTATAATCTGAGGCACAAATAAATCCATGGCTGCAGAAAATACACCAATTTTGAGGATTTAAGATCTTTCCACAGCTTTTGCCAGATTTTAAGCTATCTTTTAAAATATAATAATTTCTAGCTCCTCCAGTTGCTGATTACCCACAACTCACAATGAAGTCAGAGTGAATTTTGCCACTGACTTTATAGGAAGCAGTATTAGTTTTAGAAAGTGTCAGAGACATTATCTCGGCTGACCAGGAAAGACCTGGAACTGTTTGCCCTGAAGCCAGGCCAAATGCTTTTATGTTTGATTTTGCTACTCTGATAGAAAGAGAATCTTTTTTGTATTTCATATGGAATAACCCTCCTCCCCATCACACTCACTTTCCCCACCCCTTTCACATGCTAAGTTTTCAGCCCATCCTCAGAAAAATCAGTAGAGTCCTAGACTTATCCAGAAGAAGGAGATAAAATCTTGTAGTCTACAAGGAAGAACAACATACTTGGTAGCACAGACAACTGCTTAAATTATTAATACAATTTTAACAGGTTGGATGAAGGTTTATAGAACAAGTGTCACCAGTCTTTTTAGGTGTCTCCCATGATGACACCTGCCTTTTAAATAAAATGTAAAAAACTAAAACAACCTCTCTACCCCAGAAATAACATTAGAGGTACATGATATTCTGTTTTTAAATACAAAGCCAGTATTGTTCTATGGACAGTAATATAAAGGTAATATCTGCTGTGTTTACTGAGGTAACTGCTTCATTCAAAGGACCCAATCCAGCAAACAACTTAACTGGGTGAATAGCCCAAGACAGTAGATCTACTCATATGCTTGGAGGTGAGCATGTGTTTAAGTGCTTTGCTGGATTGTGGCCAGACTGCTCAGCACCTTGCAGGATTGAGCCCAATGACAGCAAAACATGCAGAAGATAACTGTGTATATCAAGTAACATTGCCATCTAGTGCTGAAATGACAAGCCTACATTTTAACAAGCTAAACTTTCAAATACCCAACATATTCCTCATCTAAAGTATTTGTTCCAAAACATGGAATAGAAAATAGATGAGTACTATATCTAAATAAATGGCACATTAACTTCTTTGTATAACAATGTTCATAATTCCAGATGTACTTTTTATAGAAATTTGATGTTTCTCAACAATTAAAGATGACTTGACCTTTGCAGTTAGTAGCATACATTAGGTTTCTTCATATGCTTCTGAAGTTTCAGTAGTACTGTTGGATTTTTCGCTGGTGCTGTTGTTGTAATCTTTATCATTTTTCTATAGGCTTTTGAAGGAAGCATTGACTGAGATCTGAATGATAGATTGACTGCAAGCAAAACGTTTTATTAGGATTTAGGACTTGCTAGCTCTTCCCAATCAAACTTACTCTTAAATTGGTGCCATTGTCCCTGGTTCAGATTAAACAATGTAGGACAGTGGACCTGCTTTTGATGCTTTATCTGGTAATCACTTCTCTTCTTGAGGTTCAACTCACTGCTGATGTACAAAATTGCTGTTTAAAAATGTTATTTGACAGCTGTTTTCTGATGGGTTCTCACAAAAACTGCTTGTTTTTTCCAGATCTGTTGACCCATCCCTGGTTTTATGAGGTCCAGGTGTGAGTGTAAACTTTTGACTCATCAGTAATGCAGTTACAGCTTTCTTTAAGTATACACTGTTGGAGCAAAACAATTATCACCTCCCTCTGCCCCCAAAACCTTAGCAAAGGGTGTTGCTGCATGTAACATTCCTGTTTTAAATCCTGAAGTAGTACTTGCTTAGAAGTACTTGCTGTATGCAACTTTTAACAAGGTCACTAACAAGGGTGGATGATATGGGGCAGTGCACATGAACTTCACTTCAACTGAGCTGACAAAATTTGGCCACAATTAATTCTGATTATTACACACTAGTTTTTTTAGAATTTCATATCCAACAAATAAGTATTTTCAATCATTAGGCAGAAGGTGTAAATTTCAAAATGATCTTTGTTGGTCTGTTGAAGCTATTTCCATTTCAAGAGAAAATCTTTGATTTAAAAATGATCTATAGATAATCCCTTGAAGCATTCTAGACAATTGCTGGATTTTTTTGCTGTTGATTCTTTCCAGCAATCAGTTTTTGCACACCAAACATAGCTGCAGGTCAATAACTTAATTTCATTGTTTTTAGCTAGTGGTCATGAAGTTATTTGGGTCCCTGTGTCTGTCTGAACACACCCTAAATACCCCATTCACTGGCACCCATGTGTGTGTGTGTGTGTGTGTGTATTGTTTACTTCAATACTTGGGATGAGAAAGCTTATTTTCTCGTTCCAATATGAATAGTGTAGGATTTCATTTGTAAGCTATCGTAAACTTCTTTAATTTATAACTAGTGAAACACATCAAATGTATTTTAGTGATTTGAAATTTAAGTGGCAGTCAAGAAAATATATCAGCATTGTTTTTTGCTTAGTTTTGAGAATAAATAGATATACACAGAACAGTGCCCACTGATGCAGACTGTTGTTTCTGTAAACTGAATGCCTTCTTTAAGTCCTAGAAGCATGGTGAGAGGTTTATAATTTATGTTAAATTTATAACCATCAGGTATTATGTCATTTCACTGATACTGGTGTTCCCCCTTTCTGTTGTATACACCTGTTGTCTCTAGTCTCATAGTGCTATTTTATATAGGTTCTTATACCACCCTCATCACCATGGTATCTGAACATCTTTCTGTAGCACATTAAGCGATATGTCATGTATAGATCATTCTTTCGCTCATCCTCTTACCAGGGGAAGAATTGCATGTGCAGTATATTGTTTTGATACGGATTTGTTGTTTAATATATATGTTTATGTACATGCTGCTCTGTGTTTACATTAGTGAAGGGAAGAACATAGAAATATGCCTAGCACTTGGATGAGAGGAGTGAGGTTTGTGATGGTCTTTTGTTCCTGTGGAAACTCATTCCACAAAGTAGCATTGACCCCTGAGAAAGCTCTGTCTCCTACACACAAAACCCTTACCCTTGTGGTAGAAACTTCCATTGTGCCTGAGGATCGGAGTTGTTGATTACAGTCCTCATCCCAGAAATATATGTGGTCTTTTAGATATCCTGGACCCAGGCCATTGAGCACCTTGAAGATAAGGAATGAGACCCTGAACTTGACTTAGGCTTTGGCTACACTTGTGAGTTACAGTGCAACAAAGCAGCCCTGGGCGCCCTAGCTCACTCCCTGTCCACACTGGCAAGGCATGTAGAGCGCACTGACTCTGCAGCTACAGTACTGCTGGTACTCCACCTTGGTGAGTGGAATAACGTTTGCTGCGCCCCCGCTGGAGCACTGCGGCGCCAGTGTGAATGAGGTGTTGCGTCACTGTGCTGTGATCAGCCTCCGGAAACATCCCATAATCTCCTTAAGTCAAGTGGCGACTCTTATCATTGTTGTGAAATCGGCTGCAGGAATCTGGAAATGCCCTTTCAAAGCTCCATTTCAGAGAAGCCGGCTGCTTATCAACTACTAGTGAGTGAGAGAGAGGCGGGGGGATCTGAACTTACAAGACAGCATGCTGACACAGTCTCAGCACCCCAAAAACCCACTCTCTCTCCCCCCACATACACACAACACACTTCCTGTCACACTCCACTCCCCCCCCCCCATTTGAAAAGCATGTTGCAGTCATTTGCATGCTGGGATAGCTGCCCATATTGCACAGCTCCCAATGCCGCTGCAAGTGCCGCAAATGTGGCCACGCCAGTGCGCTTGAAGCTGTCAGTATGGACAGACTGCAGCACTTTCCCTACTGCGCTCTACGAAGGCGGGTTTAACTCACAGCGCTCTACATCTTCAAGTGTAGCCATGCCCTTAGATATTATGCTCTTTTTATTATATATGTGTACAAAATTGGCCCTGATCCTTATGGGGATCTCTAGACAATACTTCAGTATAAATAGTAATGGTGATGACATTTCTTTGCTCAGAGAAACTCTCAGATTAGTTCTTGATCAATCTTAACATAATCCTGTTCACATATTTTAGATGCTTCCTAAGCAAACACAATGAGTCTTTCATCCTCAGAGAGTAACACATTGGAGCTCACTGCCCCTGTACCATATACACACACATTTGCATAAAAATTGTTGCTGAAGACAATATTGAAGGCTTGTTTATTTTTTATTTGTATTGTAATAGCACTTGCTAAGAAACATGATCACGCTTTGCTTTCCAAACTTCCTTCATTTGGCATGTGGTCAATGATTTTAAAAGACAGACTATAGTCACTAGGCTAGGAAAAAACCTCCCATAGCACTTCAGTTGTCAAATAAATGAACGCAGCTGAACCACATTTTTGTGGGATTTGGTGCATTAACAACATTATCTACCTTTGCATCAGACTACAGCACAGTTGACTAAATCCAATGACATAAACAAATTATAAAGAGCTGGAAGAATTCACGTTTATTTTTCTGCATGTGGAGATCTTAGTCTTCCAGTTGCTAAAGAAGCTCATCCAACTTCCTTAAATGTTGTGGGCCATATGTTCAATAACCAGGAATTCATCCAGATAGCACTCTTTTCCTGACAGATGTTGAAGAATTTGTTCCATTGCACTGATACATGGCAGAAGGAGATGCAATGCCAAAGGATAAACAATTACAACAGAACAGCCCCTTTGAATAAATTGTTTTGATTCATTTTGCATAAGGATCTTCAAATATAAATGTGCAAATGTATATTTTACTAAAATGCTTTCTGCCAGGTGCAAGAAAGTCCTTAACCCAAGGTACAGGTTGATATACAGAGAAGGATTTATAGTTACTTTAAAATCTCCACTGATTTGTACTTGTCCAACAATTTAAAACAATGGGCACAACTGGTGTACCTAGTGATTCCTCTACCAGGTTTTCTAGTTTAGCATCTGCTCTGATGCATTGCATGTGGAAGAGGCTGTAGCTTTCATCATTTAGGCTGACTGCAATTCTCAGTGGTCAATCTTACATTAATATTTTTCACAATCTCTATTTAATTGCAAACTAACACTAAAAGAACAGCATCTAGTCCTGCACTAGTGTTTAACGGAATTTCAATCAATGACTTGATCTCATGTCATTCTACCTGAATTTTAAGCCATGCTTGGTTAAGCAAGCTAAGGCCCAGCCTTTTTACCAGAGTCCTTGTTATTGCAGTTGTCCCTTATACACTATCATAACTTTTCACATCCTCATAACAAGTGTTTTGCTTGTACTTAAAAATGGTACCCCCCTGCAAAGACACTGAATGTCCACTATACTTTGTGAAAGTTGTGGTGTAACAGATACCATATGAAAAAGTGTCGCTTTTGAGGATGTATACTGTGGCACTAAAAGGGGTTAAGCTTTTATCTAGCATATCATCTCAATTCTACAATAAGTGTTAACCCATGTCCCAGGAAAATTCCAATCTGGGTAATTCCATTTTATTTACCTAAACTATCTCTACCCTTAACTGTTGTGTATTGTTGCTGTACCCTTTCAAACAACTACTATATTTTACCTTAGAGGTGTTGCATTTCAGTGGTGGAGGAAGCAATCTCTATGTGTAATGTTTGTATAGTGGTTTGAGGATTCTTAAGGATGAAAGGCACTATATATACCTGTTGTAATTTTTTGCATTGCTTGAATCCAGCAGGACAACACAGTGATACTAGAATTATATCATGCCAATTTTATTGCAGCACTGACACACACAGCAAGTTTCTCTAGCAGGCTTAGGAAGCTAATGATTTAACCTCATATAGAATAGAACCTTAGTTACAAAAAATGTAAACTATTATAATAGAGGTTCTCAAATTGTGGTCTGTGAAGAGCTGTCTGGTCACATGGTGCCGGTTCCTCCTCATGTCCACTTGTTAAATCACATTAAAAGACAACTGATGAATAAATTGAAAATTTTCCTATCATTAATTGCCTATGTAATCAGCTGCTATAGTTGCCAGAGGGATGTTAGGCAGGCAACCATGAATGGGCAAGGAAGTGTCTAGGGGCCAATCTCTGTATTCAGATACGGTCCGTACAATTAGAAAGATTGGGAGTGCCCACTATAATGTACATTCTGGACACCCCCATCCTCTCCACTTCAAATTCTGGTGACTTAAGTATAAGGCCCTTCATTTTCAGTTTTTACTGATTTTTACCCAAATTTCCCCAGGTTTTACAAAAGCTATTATTAGTTTTTTATTTATTTTCACCTGAATTCTAGACCACTCAAGTACATGAAAATAGTGATTATGTTAAGAAAATCAAATACATTACATTAGATAGATGTGTTAATAATAAATTAGGGTAAATGTGACGCTGTCTGTTAAAATAAGGCAATGTAGTGGAACATGGAAAGCATGCATATGTGTACAGACCTTCAATATACAGTTAATGAACTAAACCACAGCATTAAGCTGCTTTTACTTTCAATTCTGTTACTTTTCTGTGTTGCTTTTTTTCCTGTTCTCCCATCCCCGAATATTAACCCAGAAAACTGTGAAGCTGATTTTTGCACCAATTTTCACCCTTCTTTCAATGTTTCTAATAAATACCAATTAATTCCTGGGAAATGTTAAACAAAGTAAAAACCAAAACCAAAGGGCCTTGCTTCAAGAAGATCCTGAACCAAACCCAAAGTTGCTATTAATAGAGACAGGGGCCTAAGTGAGCAGGGTGAGAAGGTATGGGTGGGGGCCAATCCCAGGACCCTGTGGGTATATGAGTGTGGGGGCCCCAGACTGCCAATTGTTGTTAAGTGGGCAAGAGTTCTAGGGGCTCAGGCCCATGAGGTGATGCAGCAGATGGAGAAGGGACTGGTGGCCACAGGCCATAGGGTGACATAGGCAGTGGGTGATTGGGCCTAGGTGGTTGGGGCAGCAAGAGAGAGGCTGGGGGTTAGCACCAGGCCTGGGGCTGCCTGACAGGGCACTGGGAGGTAGGTAGATGTCCTAGGCGGGCGACCCCTGCCCCGCAGATCACTCGGGTTGCTAGGGGACTGCTCCCTACGCAGGAAGTAGGAGGGCAGCGCCCTCTACTGTCCCTGCGGGGTTTCCTGCAGACAGCGCGCGCTCCGCCCCCACCTCCTCTCCTTTCCCCTCTCCGTTGGGACTAGGGAGGGGCGGTCACGTGGCGGAGGGGCGGGGCGTGACCGCCTCCAGGGTCACATGACAGGGGCGCGGGCTGGAGCTGTTGCTGGTCGGGGTCCGTTGGAGGCGAAGTGACCATGGTGAGTGAGCGCGAGTTGGCATCTCGGTAGCCCCGGGGCTGAGCGTGTGGCACCTCTCCCGTTTTGGGACGTCGGCGCGGCCTGCCCCGTTCCCCTGCCCGCGTGCGGCGCAGGCCCGTGGGCTGGGGAAGGGTTTTGGTGCGGTAGGGCCCGTGGCGGCGGCTCGCTCCCGTCGGGGACGCGCCTAGGGACGCGGATTCCCACCTGTGGCCGGCGGGGGCTGGCTCGCGGGCGCCCTCCGTTGTCCGCGTGTCGCTGAGAGGCGCCCGCCCGCCCTCGGCTGCTCCACAGGGCGCTGGGCCCGGCTCCCCTCAGGCGGTGACATTCGACCTCTGATCCTGCAAGTGACTGCACTGGCCTCTCCTCCCGGCCGGCGCTTCGTTGGCCCTTGGCGTTCGGCCTGCGGCATGTTAGGGTCGCTCCTCGCCCCGGTGGGCCCTGCAGAGCTGGTAGAGGCTGGGCGGGGGCACTTCTACACCGCTGTCCCGCGGGGTCGATAACCCCTCCCTCTCCTGCTAAGTCACTGTCGGCGGCGGGGCTGCAGGGCGGGTCCGGAGAGCGGCATAGCTGGGGTTGCAGTGCCTGTGGGTAGGCAGGCTGGGGAGAACAGCTCGATTGTCCGAGCCTGGGGCGGTCCGTTTGCTTACACCCTGGGCATGTTTGATTTGGAAATGGAGCAACAAAAAGCTGGATTCAATGCCACGTGGGTGGGGTCACTTCTCAGAGTAAACACATCATAGGACTGGAAGGGACCTCAAGAGGTCATCTGTTCCAGTCCACCTGCACTCATGGCAGGACTACGTATTTTCTAGATCGGGGTTCTCAAACTTCATTGAACCACAATCCCCTTCTGACAGCAAAAATTACTATACGACCCCAGGTGGGGGGAACTGAAGCCTGAGCCTGCCCGATACCTGCTGCCTCTGGCGGGAGGGGAAGCTAAAGCCCAAGGGGCTTCAGCCCGCAGGCAGGGGGTCTGTAATCTCAGCCCCACTGCCCAAGGCTGAAGCCCTCTGGCTTCGGCCCCAGACAGTGGGGCTCAAGCTTTGGCTTCAGCCCCAGCAAGTCTAAGCCAGCCCTGGCAACCGCATTAAAATGGGGTCATGACCCACTTTGGGGTCCCGACCCACAGTTTGGGAGCGGCTGATCTAACCATTCCTGACAGGTGTTTGTCTAACCTGGTCTTAAAATTTTCCAAGGATGATGATTCTACAGCCTCTCTAGGCAACTTATTTTAGCGCTTAACCATTCTGACAATTAGGAAGTTTTTCCTAATGTCCAACCTAAACTATCCTTGTTGCAATTTAAGCCTATTGTTTCTTGTCCTATCCTCCAGAAGTCAAGGAGAATAATTTTTTGTAACAACTAGGGCTGTCGATTAATCGCAGTTAACTCACGGGATTAACTCAAAAAAATAATTATGATTAAAAATGTTAATTACACTATTAATTGCACTGTTAAATAATAGAATACCAATTGAAATTTATTAAATATTTTGGATGTTTTACTACATTTTCATATATATTGTATTCTGTGTTGTAATTGAAATCAAAGTATATTATTTTTGCTTACAAGTATTTACACTGTAAAAATTATAAACAAAAGAAATAGTATTTTTCAGTTCACCTCCTTCAAGTACTGTAGTGCAATTTTTGACCTGAAAGCACAACCTCCAAATGTAGATATTTTTTTTTACATGCACTCCAAAAAAAAAAACACCCCCAAAAGTGTAAAACTTTAGAGCCTACAACTGCACTCAGTCCTACTTCTTGTTCAGCCAATCGCTAAGACAGACGAGTTTGTTTACATTTAAGGGAGATAATGCTGCCTGCTTCTTATTTACAGTGTCACCAGAAAGTGAGAACAGGCATTTGCACTGGCAC